AAGGTACTGATAACTTCGAGAATGTAAATATTAGATAGAGTAAGCGATATGATTTGTGAGTGTTTGTGTGTATTGCTTTCATGATTGATGATTTGTTTGTTTGAAGGAATTCTATAAAGGGGACATAACGCCCTACAAGCCACATCGTTTCTTGAATTTGGTATGGACACACGCACGACACTTGGCTGGTTACGAACAGCAAGACGCACATGAGTTTTTCATTGCTGCGTTAGACGTGCTTCACAGACATTCTGGAAGTAAGACTTTTGCGTTGTTTTTGATATTTTTCTAAAAATTTTATTTGATTGAAGTAATGTTCTTGAACCGTAAGTGAATGTAATATTGTCAGGATTGCAGGTAGTTCACTTTTAAAAACGCCACAAGAATGTAATTGCATAATTGACTGGATTTTTACGGGTAAATTACAATCAGATTTGACGTGTTTGACTTGCGGGTTCGTATTTGTTGATTTATTTTTATTAATTGGAACGTCTAATTATTGACTGTAATGTTTAGGGTGATAACTTTCTCTCGATTAGTGAGCAATTTTGTATTCAGAGGCGTTTCAACAACAGTTGATCCCTATTGGGATATATCGCTGGATGTTGGTCATGAAGCTTTGTTATCACCGACATCAGACGGTGCAACGAACATATCACTAGAGGATTGTCTTCAGAGGTGACTTGATTCTGCAGTTGTTGTGGTTTTTAAAATTGTTTCATAATTCTGATATAGGAATCATGCACCTTAGCAGTTTTCATACGCATTTAGGTACATATTGTGTTACTCATTGTGAATTTTCGATCAGCAACTTGGATTTATTAACGATTACTAGAGACTATTTTCCGGTGGTCTGTTGTGATTTTTCGGATGATCGTAATGACGTTAATGTCACGATTGATTAGCACTCATTTTGATCACGCTAGTAAACTTGATAAAGCTTTTTTTTCAGATATATTCGTCCAGAGCAATTGGGAAGTTCAGCGAAAATCAAGTGCGCGAGATGTGAAACTTACGAAGAGTCAACGAAGCAGCTAACCTTAAAAACACTCCCAATGGTTGCATGCTTTCACCTGAAACGTTTCGAGCACAACTCAAAGCATCGTAAAAAGATGGACACTAAAGTTTATTACCCGCAATTCATTGATATGACTCCATTCACGGCAGCCTATCGAGAGAGATCCATCCTCGACGAACATAATTCAGATAGTATGGTAGCGGATGCGTTAACAAAGAATCGAAATAAGTAAGCATTTGATTTTGTTTATTATCGCAATATATCGTTCGTTTCTTACTTTTCGACAAATTTGTTC